TGTTTTCACTGCAATGAACATCATAAGCTATTCTCTTGTGGTAAGTTCGCAAAAGAAGACCTTAATGTTCGCCAGAATATAGTAAATTCTTTAGGACTTTGCTATAATTGCCTTCGCAGTAATCACACAGGAAAAATGTGCCGTGTACCAACAACATGTCGCATATGTAAAAGAAAGCATCATACGTTCCTTCATGGTAAAGCTAATTCATACACAATCGCAGTCGCTAGGGAAGCAACTGAAACTGATGAGGTAGATGATATTCACCCGGAATCGTCTTTTGAGACGAATGAGACCACCAGCAATATTGTTAACAATTTTGTGACAGACCAAACACACAGCCAAGCCTTATTGGCCACAGCTTTTATAAAGGTTGAATCTTCAGGTTTGAATCTAAAGGTAATCATCAGATATTGAGAGCTCTGCTTGACCAAGGATCGCAAGCATCTTTCATATCTGAAGCTGCTGTGCAACTATTACGCCTTGATAAAATTAAGGCAAGAAGTTGCATATCAGGTTTGGGTGGAGGTCGACATGGCTTGATTTCGAAGTACGTGGTTAGAGTAAACATGCTGTCGCTTAGTGACCCATCATTTAAAATGCAGATAGACGCTCACGTTTTAAATAAGGTGACTACTGTCTTGCCAGAAAGAAAATATTTCCTAGCGTATTGGGAAGATTTAAGGCGGATCACTCTGGCAGATCCACAACACAATTCACCTAATAGAATAGACATCTTATTAGGCACCGAGGTTTATTGTAAGATCCTGAAAAGGGTTTTAATGAAACACCCCTCTGGTTGTAGGATTGCGCAGGAAACTCACCTCGGATGGGTATTGTCGGGTCAGGTAAGCAGTAATAATACAGAAATTGGATGTCACAATACAATTTTTAATATGCATGTAAAAGTAGAGTTACCTTTCCGTCCTAATTTTAGTATTAAAGATGCATATGGAGATACGAGAAAAATTGCAGTCAGAAGATTGATAAGTTTAGAAAAAAGATTATTCAAATGTCCAGAACAAGGAAAGGATTATGCAGAAACGCTGAAGGAATACGTGACACTTGGGCACATGGAAGAAATAGGAATGGATTTACATCAGTCAGGGGGAAAAGTATGGTTGCCACACCACGCTGTAATTAGACTGGACAAAAGAACAACAAAAACCAGAGTTGTATTTCATGCATCGGACCGTAGCGCCAATGGTGTGTCCCTAAATGATACTCTTATGGTCGGACCTACTTTGCAACAATCATTATGCGATGGCGGTTACACCCAATATGTCTCACTGCCGACATTGTTAAAATGTACCGACAAGTCAAGTCGCTGCAAAGCACGTTGATTGTCAAAGAATAGTTTGGCGTGCCAATCCCATTTCAGAAATAAAAGATTATAGACTTTTGAGAGTAACTTTTGGTATGTCTTGCGCACCGTACTTAGCGGTTAAAGCTTTGCAGCAAGTTGCTATAGACGAAGGGCATAATTATCCTGCAGCTAATCTGCAGGTAAAGTCAAAACAGACTTTTACGTCGATGACCTTATGACAGGTTGTCAATCTGAAACACAAGCAATTACAGTGTTTAGCAGATGAGTTTATTAATGGAGAAAGGTGGTTTCAAGTTACAGAAGTGGTTAAGGAAGATGAAGGAGAAGGAAATGGTAAGGAAATTAAAGAAGATGATATAACCAAAATACTTGGACTTGCATGGAATCGTCAAAGTGATGAATTTAATTTCGCAGTACGGCTCATTGAATCTCTACGGTCATTTGAATCCTCCTTACCTGACACTAAAAGAAAAATCATCGCTGAAATCTGCCGCTTATATGACCCTCTTGGTTTACTATCACCATGTATCATTACTGCAAAGGTGTTTATTCAGAAATTGTGGCTAACTGGACTGGAATGGGATGAGAAATTACCAAATGGGCTATTGTGTGAATGGCAGACTTATAGAAACGAATTGCGTGAAGTAGCTAGGTTTCATGTACCGCGATGGGTTCAAAGTTCTAAAAGTGACAAACTGGTGGAATTACATGGATTCAGCGATGCATCTAGTGTAGCATATTCTGCAGTTGTGTATATCAGATACATTACTGCAGATGGTAGAATTGAGACTCATTTGATAACTGCCAAAACTAAAGTAGCTCCTATCAAACAGGTGTCCATTCCTCGACTTGAATTGTGCGGAGCTGTATTGGTGGCTAAGCTTCTCGTTGAAGTGGCTGGAGTCCTTGATATTAATAAGTCAAATTTACATGCCTGGACTGACTCAACGATAGTTTTGGCATGGTTGAGCGATCATCCAAGCCGATGGAAAACTTTTGTGGCCAATCGCACTTCGGAACTACTTACAATTTTAGATTCATCCCAATGGTCATATGTTAATTCAAGGTACAATCTTGCAGACTACGCCTCACGAGGAGTAAAACCGGCAGAGTTTATAAACGACAAGTTGTGGAGAAGCGGTCCAAGCTGGTTGCTTAACAAAACCAATTTCGATATGTACTAAATTGGAAACAAAAACCATAAAAACATACGTCACTTCCATTATCGATGAAAATGATGATAATTTATTTGTTAAATTTTCATCATTACGGAAGGTAGAGAGGGTTGTAGCGTTTTGTCGTAGATTTCTTCGATTGAGTGATCGTAACACGCCAAAGGAAAAACCTTTGCCATATCTGTCAGCTAAAGAAATACAAGATTCGCTTACTTGTTGTATACAGCAGCATCAACTTTGTTCGTTCCCTGAGGAGATTAAAGAAGTCTTTAAATCCCAAAATGTTCACAAGAAAAGCAAACTCGTTTCAGTTAACCCACTTATTGACAAATATGGTATATTGAGTGTTGGAGGACGAATTGAAAATTTAAACTTACCAGATGATAGCAAACATCCCATCATAATTGCAGGAGAATCACATTTTGCAAAACTTATAGTTGCCGATGCACATGGGAAAATCATGCATGGAGGACAGCAATTGACTTGTAATTATGTGAGAACTAAGTATTGGGTGAATAGATTAAAGAATTTGGTCAGAAATCACATTCACCACTGTGTTCCATGCATTAGAAATGCAGCCACTTTTCGGACTCAGTTGATGGGACAATTGCCAGCTTGTTGAGTAACACCCGGCAAGCCATTTATGAGTGCCGGTGTAGACTATGCTGGCCCGAAAAACATTCGTGCCTCCAAAGGTAGAGGCCACAAGTCCTATAAAGGATATATCTGTCTCTTCATTTGTATGGCCGTTTCGGATCTTACTGCAGAAGGATTTTTGGCTGCCTTTAAACGTTTCATTGCTCGAAGGGGTCGCTGTAACCACATATGGAGCAATAACGGAACTAATTTTATTGGGGCATCACGAGAAATCAAGCAGTTATTTACAAAAGAACGGTCTTCAATTTTGAATGAAATTTCTTCTTCATTAGCTAATAACGGAACCAAATGGCATTTTATTCCCCCTCCCAATTTCGGAGGGTTATGGGAAGCAGGGATTAAAAGTATAAAACATCATCTCCGCAGAGTAATAGGGGATTTCACTCTCACTTACGAGGAATTGGCTACGGTGTTAGCTCAAATAGAGGCCTGCCTCAACTCCCGTCCGTTAACAGTGGTAAGTTCAAGCCCAGACGACAGTGTTCCATTAACACCAGGCCATTTTTTTAATAAGTGAACCATTGCTAACTGCTCCTGATAATAACTTCGAACATCTTTCGATAGGCAACTTACGTCGTTGGCAATTGACAACAAAGCTCCAAACCTTTTGGAAAAGATGGTCCACTGAATATCTCACCCATTTCTTCCAAAGGCATAAATGGAACACCACAACTTCAGGGTTGAAAGTAGGTGATATTGTTCTGGTACGGGAGGACAATTTACCACCCACTAAATGGCTTTATGGCAAGATAGTGAAAGTTCATCCTGGTAGGGACAATCTTACGCGGGTAGTAACATTACGTTGTAAGGATTTAATACAACGTCCAACTTCAAAGCTTTGTCCTTTACCAATAACAGATAATGTTGAATAACATAAATTGTTTAGTTCAATTTTATATTGTTCAATTAAAATATATGTAACTTGTCATGTTATACCTTATATTCTTCTTTTATCAGTTCAAATTTTCATGCTTGAATCGTTAGAAATAATTCTTGAATATGGGAATTCGGCATCGCTTTGTTTTGTGAATTTTTAGTTTGTGAATAATAATATTTTGTTTGTTTTAAATAGTAATGTAATGTTTGAAGCATATAGGTATTTCTTTCATATTTTATTTGTATTAATTCAATTCAAAGTTAATTCAGTTTAGTTGCCCAAATAGTGTAAATATGTGACTTTTATACAAATTGAAGGACTATTTAGTCCTTGGTGGGCGGTATGTTTAAGATCTTAAACAAACATGCTATAATTGTATCTTATAATCAGTAATCTAGATGTCGCTACACATTTTTATATCATGATATGGTTCGACTATTGAAAATGCATATAGGGTTTAATAATTATATTGAATAAATTGTCTATACGTTCCGGGACATTGAGTTTTCATTGTTCCCTGGCTTTGTTTACCTAACAACTATAGTATACTTCATAAGTTGTAGTAATGCAAGAAGAAACCAATTAGTGTCTAGTGGTGATGACTTACTTTAATTTGTAAAAAATTTTGCTATTTATATGTATTGTTATAATACTGTATTAAAGTTGATGCCCTAAGGACTATTTTGGTATGTATAATTATTTATTTTTGACCTGACAGTTTATATATCATTGTGTTTCATATGGTAAGTGTTGAAATCCATAGACCCTTTTTTACTGGAAACGAGGCAATCCATGTTAGTCCTCAAGGGTGACAATGCATCTGCAGTTTGATTCTCAATCAGGAATAAATGTAGATGTCTTTGGGCCCCAGCATTAACTTACCATCAGGTGGATTGTGTGCTCGTTTGTCACCCTTATTTTGCAAAAAAAGGAAATTTACTATGAAGATAAAACATCATCTTACCTATTTTGTTATCATCTCCAAAATGTTGAAACATCAAGCATGGCAAGGAATCAATAATTATCATTGCTAAATTTTCAATGCTTACAGATTTATTTTTTAATTTCTTGAACAATTCAATTAATTCCTCCATAGTCCATATCTGTACTATTTCAATTTTTAAAAGAGCTCTTGCCATTTCCTATAAAAATAAATTAATTATTATCAATCATTATTACTGCCATAATAATTAATCCACCTGTCATGCATGATTATTTAGGCAAATCCTTATTACAAAGGGATAAGCATTTCCTGGTGTCGACTTTTATTCACTGATGAAGAAGTTACCACTACAGCCAATCAAAGTCCACTGCTAAACATAGTCCGCCCCCATAGATTGCTCATAGGGGGGATATTTAAATTGCACACTTGGCTGGCAGTTTGCCAACTAGTTTTATATTTTTTAGTTATTATTAGGAAGATGCAGCTACCCATCTCCTGGTTTGTTTCCCCACCATTACGCCCACAGGATAAAACATGGTGGTATAGCTATTATTACACTGCCACTACACCTTCTCTTTACCCTATAGTATAGTTAGCATGAGTAAACCACAGACGTCAAAAAATAAATAAAAACTAAAATACAAAATAATTTTTTATATAATAATAATAATAATGTCCTCCAGACCGAATTTTGGTCATGGCGGCCTGCCTCAACTGAGAATAGCCACTGGCGCAGGACAGGATTATAGTGCCCAAGTGTATGCGCAAGCACAGGTGCACTCTTTATTCCCTCACTCTCATAATCCGATGGGACAGTAAACTGACACGACCGGAGAGAGATCAGGCGCAGTACCAACGGCTTCACATGCTTTCCGAGGCACGGGGGTGAGACACCACCAACTTCCTGACTCCGGGCAACTACTGAGAATTTCTTGATGGAAAAACTCAATAATTAATTTTTTGGCCCGACCCGGGATTCAAAACCAGCATCTCATGATCAGTAGCTGCACTACTACAACCACTAGACTAACGAGGCAGTCTATTATTATATTTTATATATAACCTAGCTGGCCCAGCACTTTTCTGTTCCCTTCAGTATGTGATGGTAGTTCGGCAGAACAATTGGAAACCTTAGTTTTTTAATAATTTAAAACTCTTAACAGGAAGATTGTGCTGGCCATCTTCGTCTCCTCTTACAACACCCATGATATATAATGGTGTAATTGATTCTCTTACACCACCACTATATGCGCGGAATAGATACTATATAGCCACCCACATGATTTCAAATGATTTAATTATTTTTATTAAGTACCTGATGTGAAGAACCTATATTATCTAAAATTTTCTGAATTCTAACGGCATCAAAATCTCCCTTAGTATCAACAAAAAGTATCGTATTTTCAGTTTCTCTCACACAATTTATCGCCAATTGAAAACCTAATTGTGTCTTTCCAGATCCAGCCAGACCACATAATTCTGTGATGTATCCAACAGGGATTCCTCCTCCCAAAACAGCATTTAAACTGCAATTATAAATTTTTATATTACAAACACAACAATTTCAATAATATAATACCTATTTTTACATATATTAAAACCTTTCTATTCCTGTATTAATAAATCTTTTTTTGGTTTGACTCTTTGATAACAAAAAAAGACCGTCGACTAAAGGTGCTGAATATTTCATGAAAATATTATTCCGTATATCTAATATTTGGCACAAATTTAACTTCGTAAGTGTCGCTAACTTTTCTGCATCTTGTTGAAGAAATTCAAAAACTGTTGTAATGTTATTATGTGCAAGCGTTTTTATTACACTTTTTGTTAAAAAAGTATGGTTCAGACTGGTAAGTTTTTGCATTATTAAATTTAAATAAAATTTAAATTTAATGTGGGATACATCCGGTATCCGGACATCAGGTTCATAGATGAAATTAAATTAAATATTTCTTCTTCGTAATTCAACCAAATCCACAGACTACTAAGAGGATACTACGCATCAGACAGGAATCTTAGAACAACCAATACGGAAGCAGTAGTTTAGAGTTTGACTTTTGTTTACTTCTAATTTTGAGGTATCAGGCAAAAGTACATCATTGATAAAGCCTACTTACGTTACTTTTAAATTTTGTAGTTATAAGGCAAAAGTACATCATTGATAAAGCCTAATTTCTTTCCCATACCTACAGCTATTCACCATTAAAAGTTGACAATTTTAAAATCTTTAGAACTTATAATACAAAAATAAAACAACTTATATATTAGTTATACAAGTTTTTATTTCTTTTTCTTTTTAAATTATTTATAAACTTTATCTAGCATTTGCGGCAATTGGTTACGTTATTTTAATCTCACAATATCAAATTCTTTTAAGATTTTAGTAACGTTACACCAGTTCCATTTCCGTTCCAATATTTGGATTTCCATATGCTTTTTTTTAAAATTTCATAAGAATTTGGTTTCACTTCCAAATAGTAGTTTGTTTCTTTTACAACGGTTGAAATATACCTCACTGCATATTCTGAGGGATAGGTTGATTTTTGTTTTTATTTTAAGTATCTATACTCTCTGTGAGAAATCCATTGGTGGACTGACGACTGAATTTTTTAGAGGACATAATACACTCCTTGTCCTCTTTATTAACAAATCTCATTACCTCTAATTTTTTTTATGGAATTAGTCAAAAGGGTTTCGTGCTCTGATGAATTCGTTACAGCTTGCTTTAAGGGTTTTCCTTACATGAATCAAATAAGTCCTCGAAAAATGACAAAGCTTCGGAAGTATTTTTGACGTCGAGTTTACAGGTTTTCTATCAGCTTAGCGAGCTGTAACATAAAAATAAATATAGTGTTAGCCATAGAAACCCTAAATTAATGTTATTTGTTTCTCTTTTATTCTTATATATTTTTTTACTTTTTATAAGCCAGTGCTTGACCACAATCCCACCTGGCAGTAAGTGGTGATGCAGCCTTAGATAGTAAATCGCACTGTCTTAGCGTAACAAAACCCTATTCACTCTTGCCTTGAAGACGCCCAGATTGTATTCGGATGGAAAGATAGACGCTGGCAAATTATTCCACTCCTTTGCTGTATGCATTAAAAAATTCGAAGTAAACCGTTTGGTACTAATGCGTGGAATATCAACAACAAAGGGGTAAAGACCCGCCGACCGCCTGGTCGTCCGATGGTGAAAAGGAGAATTCATTCATTCATTCATTCATTCATAACTTTTATTTGCATCAAACATGGTAAATACAGGTGTTAATTACATACACTTTAGGCCAAACATGTTTCACCCCTTATATAGAGGTATACAAATATCAAATTTAATTATGTGGCTAATTCATTTGCTCATTATTAAGTTATTAATTACAAAATATTGAAAGTACATAGAAATTAAAATTTATATATAATTACTCATTAGATTATTATTAATTGTTAGTAAATATAATAGTAATGTCAGACAATTATTAATTATTACCAAATATGATAGAATGTCAAATAATTGTTAATTATTATTAAACAAAATAAAAATGTCAATGTGAAATCGTAGTGGTTCATTTGTCAAATTTATAATCTAGGAATTCTTTGACGCTATAAAAAGTTCTTTCTACAAGAAGATCATAGAGGCCTTTTCTAAATCTTGAGAAAGATAGTGCTTTAATATGCTGAGGAATTTTATTATATATTTTGACACACATGTATAGACAGCTTTTATTATATTTAGATAATCTAGGAAGTGTGTCAATTACAAGCTTTTCAGGGTATCTGTTGCTTCGAGAAGATATATTTTTTGCTTTAGTAAACAGATAGTTGTGTTGTTTGACGAACAAACATATTTCGTATATGTAGAGCGAGGGCAATGTCAATAACTTAAGCTTTTTGAATAAAGGTCTACATGAATCAAATGGCGCTTTTAGAGTTAGTGCACGTAAACATTTTTTTTGAGTAATAAAAGCTTTATTTAACTGAGAACCATTTCCCCAGATAATTAGCATGTAACGCAGAATAGAAACTACATAAGCGTGATACACTGACAGGGCAGTATTTATGTTCGTGACTTTTCTAATATACCTTAAAGCATATACAAATTTATTTATTCTATCACACACTGATTTAATATGAGACTCCCAGTTAAGGTTTCTGTCAATTATTAAGCCAAGAAATTTTGTTTGCGTCATTTCTTCGATTTTGGTTTCGTTGTGATATATGTCAAGCTTATTAGTTTTCAAGTTGTCAAATTTAATGTAGTGAGTTTTGCTGAGATTTACTTTCAAATTATTTAAATTTAACCATTCTATTACTGATTTTATAGCGTCATTTATGTCAGATTCATGTTTTGTGAATGAGTGTTTGTTTGGGTTAGTACTAATTGTTATTGCAATATCGTCCGCAAACATAGTGCATTTGAATTTAGTTACATTTTGAATGTCATTTATATATAAAATAAAAAGCAAAGGCCCAAGAATGCTTCCTTGTGGGACGCCAAAATAGTTGTTCCTAAAATCTGAATAATAAGAAGTCAGTTCATTCTGGTTATTAAGGCTTTTGATTTCGACTTTTTGTCTTCTGTTTGTCAAATATGACTCAAGCCACTGCAAAGGAATCCCTCGAATGCCCATATTTTCCAATTTTTTAAGAAGATTTTTATGGTCAACGTAGTCGAAAGCTTTACTTAGGTCAAAAAACAATACAGTGGTTAGATATAAACTATTTACACTTACTAAGATAGATTTAATTAATGTATAAGTGGCCAAAGAAGTAGATTTGTTTTTCTGAAAACCAAATTGGTGTGGACTGATTATACTAATCTTATTACAGTATTCAGTAAGACGCAAAAACATACACTTTTCGAATATTTTGGAAAAAATTGATATTAATGCAATGGGTCTGTAATTATTGAGGTCATCTTTTTCGCCTTTCTTATACAATGGTTTAATTATTGTTACTTTAAGCTTTTCTGGGAAAGTACCTGTTGAAAAAGATGAGTTTATAAGATGTGTAAGTATTTTTATAAAACTATCGATGGAAATTTTAATAATATTGGTACATATTCCATCGTAACCAGTTGCATTTGAGTTCTTAAGAGATATGACTGCATTTCTGACTTCTTTTTCTGACATTTCTCTTAGAAACATTGACGTGAGCTGTGTAGAATTAGTTTTTGTTATTTTATTACTAGCGTCATTGTTGTGGGTCATGTTAATAAAAAAGTTGTTAAATTTATTTGCTATATCGGTTGAGTCAGTTAAAATTGTATTGTTATCTTTTATATTAATAATGTTAATATTTTTTGTTTTATTACCTATTTCATTATTTACAATTGTCCACGAGGCTTTGCATTTATTTCTGCTAGTGTTAATTAAATATGTATTTCTAATTTTTTTTTGACGTGTAAATACATTTTTTCAAAATTTTTGAATAACTTGTGTAAATACGTTTACTAAAGATGTCTTTGTTTATATAATGTTTATATCTAAGTAATCTTTTCCGTTTACAACTAATCCTTAGTCCTTTGCTTATCCATTTAGCTTTATTGTATGTGTTTTTTAGTTTTATTTTCATTTGCGGGAAACAGAGATTGTAGAATAGAAGAAATAAGTCATGGAATTTTTCAAATGCTCTATTTGTATTGGTTTCTTCTAAAATATCACTAAATGTAAGACAGCCAAGATAGCCATTAAATTTTTCTACATTTTCAGAGCAGTAATCTCTTTTATAAACGAAATAGGATCTTGGGTTTTGTTTTACAGATTTTACCGGTATTTTCAACATTTGGGCAGTGTTGTGATCTGATAAACAAAGCGGTAATATGACTGGTATTGCTGTTTTAATATTACTTAACATGTGATCAATACAAGACGATTTTCGGGTAGGCTCTTTAATATGCATCGTTAGGTTATAATTTAGTGCTATATCATTTAACATAATTGTAAATTTGCCAGATTTCAACGTGTTTATATTGAAGTCCCCTGTCAACACAATTTTCTTTTTATGTCCATATTTTTTATAAAGGATACTAAGCAGGCAATTTAACTTGTTCAAAAAATAATTAACATCACTTCTAGGGGTTCTATATAGGTTTATAATAATAAGGTTATTTCCTGAAATTTCAATGCCGCAACACTCAAAATGTTTTTCTATACCGTATTCATTTAAAAACAATATTTTATGAAAAAGCAAATTTTTTTTTTACTAGGATGCAAGTTCCACCTCTTTTTTTCAAATCTACAAAAACTTGCCCCTAATGTATAGTTATTTAATTTAAAGAAATTTTCCGCTCCCTTTTCTATGAACGTCTCCGATAAACAAATAATATCTGGTTCGTTATTTTTCTTCGCGAAGTTCTAATATAGTAATTTCCAAAATTTCTTTTTTAGCTGTTGCACTTGCTATGTTTTGATGTAGGATATTTAAGTATTTACTTGAGGTCCTATTAAACTGAGGCACGAAAAAAGTCACTCTTCTTTTTAAGTGGAAAGTAAAAAGGTATGGTACCTTTTTGTTTTGACGTACTATTCGCGGTTGGTTGGACTGGCTCGTTGCATGATTCGCGTACGCTTATTATTTTCTCCTTAATACATGTTTCATTCCAGCGTCTGATTGCCTCTACGTTTTCAAGGATATCGTTAAATATTATTTTTGTGCCATAGTTATTCACATTGCCCGTGTACATATCAAACATTG